CGAACATATACGGTTTATGTTTCTCGCGCCACACATGCCACATGTCAGCTCCACGGCTAAAAATGAACGATAAATTTCATAAGACCAAATTTTTCCATCGTTGATAATTGCGTTTTTAGATTTTTTTTTTTTTATATTCATCTTCCAATTGCTTTGCTTTTTTCCTTAATAATTCCCGCAATTTTAAAAGTTGTCCCTAATTTTAGTGTGACTTAGTTGAACGTAATGATTATTGATGAATTTGAAACAATGTTGAAATGGTTCCTTTTTCGGGCTAGGAGCTTGATTTAAAGTGTCAAAGATTTTTGTGTATGACCAGATGTATTCTACATGTCTCAATAAACAGTTGTATGTGAATTACCTTTCTTAAACGATGCTACATTTATTTGTCTGTAACGAAAATATACAGGATCGTTTTCTCCTTTTTATTACCTCCGTCAATCGTCCCCCACACTGTTGACGACGAAGGTGTGAAATTTGTTGAATTGTCTGGATAAGGAGTAAATGATTTGCATTTTACCAATGAAATAGTAGGAGACGAGTTAAAATGAATGGAAGAAGTGGTTACAAAGTGGAAGAAACTTTTAGTGCGGAAGAAAGAAGAGAGGTTGACAAAGCGTTCGTTCGAGTGAACCTTTCAGAGGTGTAAGTGGTGGAACGAACAGTTCATTCTCCAATTCTCTACGTTTCGTTGTAGCGAACAAATTTATGCAATTTTTGCTGGCAGTTTTTGCCGTAGCTTCGGTTCTCATTAGGCGTATCTGACGTTTCTCTTTTTCCCCCCACCCTTGACCCAACTGACTAGAGCGACCTCCATCGTATCGTTGGGGCGTGTTGGGACGACCAGTATCTCCGTAGAAGCTGAGAGATCAGGGGTGTTCAACGTTGCACCTATTGTCTCGCGTCGTTCTCTCATCTTTTACTTCTCTTCTGTTCTTCACCCTTAAGCATACGCACGAAGCAGTGTCCGTAATTGCGCGCGCGTGCGCGCGCGAAACACGCATCGCAGAGGGAAAACGAACGCATTCATTAGGCAACATCCCAAGTTTCTCTTTTTTCATTTTCCACCGCGTAATTTTACTAGTACACACGGATTATACTGTAATCGTATCGATTACACTCTCGCGGTACGGTTACTTTTGGTGATACGGCAGCAGAAGTGTCGCGATGCAATTGCAACGGATTGCTTGGCAACACGACAATCAAAGATTAACGTAGAGCGAAGGTGTTTTGTGTGTTACACCTTTCAATGCGGGATTGTTCGCTAATCTCTGTTCCTTGCAATGCAGTGTATGCGATACTGATTAAATTGTGGTGTATCGTATAGTATGGATACTCGATTTGGAAGATAGAGACATTCGCAAAGGAGAATATCGAAGAATCGAATCTTGCAAAGGGTGCCGCGTAGTGTTTTTCCACGTGCAATTCGCATTTATTCGAATGTTCTGAAACATCAAGGGTAAGGTTTCAATTGTTGAACGCAGTCTCCCAAGGTACGTATCTATGGCATACGTGCATAAGTCGTTCGTGCGTGCGCACGTTCATATGGAATATAGCAGAATTTGTTGATAAAAAAACCAGTCGGCAAACTAAATTATGCAGTTCGTTCGAAACACAACGATACAAAATTACAAATGAACGAACCACTTAACACAAACTGGTTTTGAGTATGTGCGCTTGCGCGCACGCAAGAGAGGGGGAGAGAAAGAGAGAGCAGAATTTCTTATTTCAAGTATGATGGTGGGTCGTTCGTGATGTCGTTCCATTTCTAGATAAATAGAATGTTTTACGTAGGTACATTTACCGCAGATGATTGAGAAGAATACGTCTATTTTTTTAATGTTTCGTATAGATTTGAAAAGTGTCGAACTTGCTTGTCGTTTAAATCGTATGCGTGAAGCATCGTTCATGAGAAAAGCATTTTTTACAATAACATTGCGTGTCGATACATCTGTGTGATAGGGAGGTTAATACGTGGGGCGTAATACTATTGGTAATCACTGGAGGCGCTGCTATTGCGCCACCTTGCCCCGTCCACATCGAAACTTGGAGTTGGCGTGGGAGGGAATAATAATAGGGTGGGTGATTCGAATTGGAACGATTTCTGCCCCTTTTACCTTTTCCGTGGCTATTTATCGTAATATTCGTACAACGTGTTCTTCTTTTCTACAATAATATCGAAGAGGAGAACATTGGTGTTGTTCGCGTTTCTCGTTGTCTCCGCCACCGCCACCGCCGCTATCGGCTGCTACTGGCCACTAGCGTCACCGCGCAGAATCCCATAAAGGGCGCAACGCATATGATTCGAGGGCGTGGCAAATTAGCATGTGACACGTGTTGAAGACTTCAGTCCAACTGTAATATTTCCGTTTGCACATTATAATCGAATTTTTTCTTCGTATATTCTCGTATGTTGATGTAACGGATGTAACGGAGGAGGAAAGGATGCAAAGACGTGAAGTTTGTGCGAAACGAACAAGAAGATAAAGTGTTTTCCGTTTAGTTTATTTAGATTCTGTTTTTTCGCCTGAATAGTCGATAGACAGGGGGTTGCGGGACGAAGAACGACTGATCGCCAGGTAATGATTACAATTATAGTACAAGCATGTGGAAATTGGTTTGATTCTCGTGAGTGGTGTGAACGTTACGTAGATTGAATTTGAACGGTGCGTTGCGCGCGCGCGTGGGCGACCATCCAATAACGCGTTGGAACGCGTGTGTGTGATTACAGATGATCTTCAGGATCGATATCTCGTATTTTTCCTCTGCGTGGAACAGAGTCTGACGATATGGTAAAATCACAATTACCGGCATTAACGGCTTTTCTACAGTTTTGCCGAAATGTATCTGACGGGTGTAATCGAGAGAAGAAGATTAATCGAGCAAAATGCAAATGTGTATTACTAGGATGCAGTATGGCTTCGATACTCTGGCATGCTTCTGGGAATAGTCTGGTTTCTCCCGCTTTTATCGTGTTCTTGCTACTTTGCCCTCGCAGCAGTACAGGTGAGTGAGGAAAGGTATTCGTTTAAATATCTTGCTCTCGTTTCTTCTCTCGGCGTGTTTGTTCGTTTGCGTCCGTACAAACGAAAGATGCCACGAGAGATATGTAGGTGAAGAAACGTTATACGGGAAAATGTAAATGCGAGTGTGCGCGTGTGTTGTTTGTGTGTGGTTTCACAGAATGCGATCAAAAGTTCATAAGCACAAAGGGCGGTCCACCGAATGGAACCTTCCACGCCCCAATGTTGATTAACCCCGAGAGGGATTCCCGACAATGCGTGTACACGTTTTTCGCTGGACAAGGACAACGAGTCGAATTGGTTTTCACTTCGTTTGGGCTACGTGGGACACCGCCGGGGTAAGTACAGTTCCATTTCGTCCGATGGATTATGGGTACGATCTCTCTCTCTCTCGTATGTTTGCAGTGGAGCTGCTGTTGGAGAGTTACCCACGTAAGTGTTCCACGTATGACGTTACGTCGCCGGTTCGACGTGGTTCGTTCGCGGGCACACTATTTCTGTTCACAGATCAACTTAGGAAAAACGTTCGTTTTCAGTTGTCTTCATGAATATATGGACTTGTACGCGGAAATACGATCAGAGAACACGACCAAGTTGGTGGAAACGCCTTTCGGTGGACGTTTCTGCGGTCCGATTCCACCTCGCAGGCGCGTCTCTCTTTACCAGGGAATCGCCCTTAGTTTCTTCACCGATAAAAATATCACGTTCCCCAGCCTCTTCAGCGGTACTTACGCGTTTATCAATGCATGTACGTTCTCTCTCTCTCTCTCTCTCTCTCTCTCTCTCTCTCTCTCTTTCGTACCACCACGGAGTTTGATTGCACCGTGTGACACGTAGACGGCATAACGTTCTGGTGTAACGTTGTTTGCAGCTGAATTCGAGGTCGGAACGCCAGCCCCTAGCACACCATGTTCTTTCACGGTAAACTCCGAGCACAAACGTAACGGTAATATATTATCACCTACGTATCCGGGCACATATCCAAAGGGTCTTACGTGTAGCTATCAATTTACTGGAAAAGCCGGGCAACGAGTGCGCCTGGAGTTTCGAGACTTTGATCTGTTCTTCGGGGGTCAACAGTACGTAGCGTAGTAAAGAGTATCTATTGTAGTTTAACAAGAGCGAATGCCGCTCTTCACCAACTCAATCGGACAATCCTGTTTGTCTGTGGATCTCACAGCTGTCCTTTGGATTACGTAAAAGTGTACGACGGTTCAAATAATACCGCGGCCGTTATAGGAACGTATTGTGGTCAACAACGAAATTTGGTATTATACTCGTCAGAGTCGAGCTTGTACGTGCTGTTTGTTACGCTTCAACGTACAGCGAACACGCAAAATCGAGGATTCAAGGGTATCTTTGAGTTTTCCGAGAGTTTCGTTCAATTAGGTAAGGATAGAGGCGAGTGGTGGAGGAGAGAATATCTCTGTTATATTTCTAATACTGTTTCTCTCTGTCTACTCAGGCTTCATAACCACTTACAAGGGTGAGCATATACGAGGATCGGAATGCGATCAGAAGATCTTAAGTAAAAAGGAGTCTTCCGGATTCGTAGTTAGCCCCAACTATCCATATCCGTACATACCCAAGGTGGTGTGCCGATACTTCATCTATGGAATGCAGGACTCGCAACATCTCGAGCGCGTTCGATTGGAGTTCACATTCTTCAAGATACCGAAAAATAAGACGATAGGCGAGTAAGTGGTTTCCAAGTGTATACGTAGAATCTACGTATGTATATCCGATTTCTTTCTGTTAATTAAAAGTTGTTCTCGCGTCGGGTGTCCAGCTCCTCCTGTACCGATGGATACCTCAAGTTGTACTTGAAGGGACAAGAAGCAACGGATTCTTACGATAAATTCGATCACGAATTGTGCGGTGCGACGAGCAATCCGAGCCATGTAGTTAGCGATGGGCCGAGACTCGTGATGGTGTTTAGCAGTGGAGAATCTCAAGGGCAAGGGTTTAAAGCACGGTAAGGAGGAGGAGGAGGAGCATAGACATAGCAGAGACATAGGACAGGCAGGTTTTTCTTCTTTTTTACAGGTACAGTTTTGAAACGGAATACAAAATACCTGGTACCGCGGCACCCGATGGTAGCTGCACCTTTACATACCGCAGTTCCTCTCGCAAAAGGGGAGACTTTAATTCTCCGCGACATCCTAGTAACTATCCGAGCGACACAAATTGCACTTATCTTTTCTTAGTGACTCCGGACGAACAAGTTACCTTAATATTCGATTACTTTAAAGTACGCACGAAGAATACGAACGTGACAGGCGGCCATTACGGGTAAGTCAGCTGTTATACTTTTATACGATAACGAAGGTGGTTGGAAAGTGAACAAAATACCGGAACAATAGGTTTATACCCTACTATTATATAGTACAACAGAACCTAAGTATATCGGAAATGTTTCACTTTTCGTACTTTCTCGACGTTACGTACATTTTCAGACTTGATATTTGTCAAGACGATTGGTTGGAGATATACAACATGTACCAAGACAATACGGAGAAGTTGATAGGTAGATATTGCGGCAGTACATCCCCCGGTCCCGTCGAATCGAATCTCAGTGCGCTCGGTTTAAGGGTAATTCTACATTCCGACTCGGAGCTGGTTTATAGCGGCTTTAAAGCGCGTTACACCTTCGAAGTGGCGAAATCCATCTTTGGAGGTATTCGCGTCACGCTACATTCAAATGCCTAACCTTCTCCTAATTCTGCTCATCTCTTTCGTGCCAATTATCACGTGTTACAGATTGCGGATCAAATATAAGCAGCGAGAATTACGGAATCATCGCCAGTCCAAATTACCCGGATAAATACGACGGACCCGCGAGGAATCTTGCTAGTAAAACATGCAATTGGTTCATACAAGTCCAACCGAATCGACGAATATTGTTAAATTTCGAGCTGTTTTCGGTAGAGGGTGATCAATCAGGTATAAGAGAATCTCATCGGTCTCGGGGTTATCTAACCTAACCCTGAACAATTAAAGCAGGCCAATTAAACAAATATGCTTGTCATTTCTTCAGTTCGTGGATGTCCAGCTGCGGTGCTACGCATGTGGTATTCCGTGTCGTCTACGCCTATCGAATTGTGCGGCGTTAAAACGCCGAACGTTGAATGGACCTACCTTTCCGAGGATCATAATATGCGTCTTAGGTTCGTTACTCGCACACAACACGACACGACTTACTTACTTATTTAGATTCTTCTACACTCGAAACATTCAAGTACCGACACTCGCACGCGAAGAACAAAGGATTCGAGCATTGATCGCGCCTTTTCCTCTCTCTTTCTTTCTTCTCTTTCAGTTTCATATTGGCCGACAAAGCCGTAGGACAACAAGGATTCAAAGCAACGTGGACCGAAGTAAGCACAAATATCGACTGCCAGAATGAATTTTTCTGCGGCAAAAGTAAATACTGCATTGCAGAGTCGCTTCGGTGTAATAACTTTTATAATTGTGGCCCGGCCGACACTTCGGACGAAGAAAACTGTAAGTTTCACAATCGTTAGAAACACCAACAGAACAACTACTACTCCTTGTAAACGCGTGGTTGGTTTCTACTTCTCTTATTTTTGCTTCTACTACTATCTAGTTGACACCTGTACGCGTGGCCGCGCCATCGCGGGCGCGCCCGCCCACTTTTTCCGCCATACACTCTATATACATAATATACGTATGCTTCCGGATCCAATATCGAATATGTAATTCCTTCGGATCTTTCAATAGATACTCTATTAATCTGCAACTTTACCAAGCGTATTCTCTTTTTGTACCGAGTATAAAACCTTCAATTAATCCTTCTTACGTATGTATACGTTACGCATATACGCCAGTGTCTATGTATGCATGCATGTACCATGGATGTATATATATACACATGATACGCAATCGAATCGTGCCATTGGGGCTATTGTACTTGACGACATGCACGATTCGTTCGATTTCTCTGCATTTCTCGAAATCCTAGACAGAGACCAGAGAAATTCGAGGGCATCTCGAAGGATAAATACGTACAACAGCTCACTTTTTTCTTTTTCTTCAATTTTCTTCTTTTGCTCTCTCTCTCTTTCTCTTTATCTATCTCCCCCCCCCCCCCCCCCCCCCCCCCCCCCCCCCCCCCCTCTCTCCAATATTATTTTACATACATACAAATACGAAGGAACACGCGTGCGAGCGAGCGAGCGCGTGTGCGTATATACATATACCCAATTTATCGTGTAAAAGTAAGAATAATACATGGTAACATCTGCCATTGTTCGTCGAATATGAGAATACGTTTTTGAGATAATCGAAATTGGTAGATACTGCACGAAGCATGCACTACTTTGCTCAAAGATTTCATCAAACAGACACATTTTATAATGTTACGATCTCTTACCGCGTGAACCATGTCTTCAGTAATATCGATTGATTTGTCGAGATAAAAATTTTGCGAGACACTCTTAAAATATGTTCAGTCACGGGGTAGGGAGCGGATGTTTGACAAAACAGTAAATAGTATCTTTCTCAAGGAGAAACACGAGTATGTACAGAATCGCGTAATATTTTGGGTAAGTAGTAAGTAGCTGTGTGTGGTATAGGTGAGAGAATGGAAGGATTGAGTGGGGGTGAATGACTGTGTGTGGTGTCGCAGGTGCAGCATCAGCCCCATTGTCACCAGCACTGGCTGGAGTCTCTACCATGCTTCTTCTCTCTCTGTGCTTTGTGTTCGTGGCCATCTGAGCCCTTCATGAAGCTTCCAACGATCCGGCATGTTATGATCTCCCCTATCACGTGAGTTCACTCACAGTATTGCACATGTACCGTTCTTAATTTTTTCTCGACAACAGCAGACTCTTCCTTCCGACCGAACGCGCGCGCGCGCGCACACCCACCCACCCACCGAGTCACACGCGCGAATAGATACGAGCGACATCCCACTCTCTTCGTATCTTCCGTTTTCCGTCAGATCGAATCTTGTATATATGTATCTACATCCTCCTTTTATCCGTTTCTGTATTCCAACCGTTTAGGTAATTTTTGTATTTCGTTATTATTGTATCATACAGTTGTACAGCTGTCGTTGCCGAATCAGATCTTTCGAGTAATTTCCTTTGTCAACTTTTTTACTACGCGTCTTTTACATTTTACACAAAATTTACAGAAAAACGCATGAATACGGTGAATGCAGATTTACGCATCATATACGGTAGCATGTGAATTTCTCTCTCTCTCTCTCTCTCTCTCCATGTCCCTGCCCTCACCTCGTTTCCTCGTCCAAGTCCGTCAACCCCTCCATTCCACTCTCGCACGTAAGTACGTATGCACGCCCGTGACTCCCGTTCTCTAAACGCTCACGGAATACTATTACCTTTCGTACTGGACCATCAAGTTATTTCAGCTTCCTTTTACTCTCTCGCGGAAATAACGAATATTGTAATTAGCGTTACGTGCGCTTCAATCCGAGCGATTGAAAACGTTTTACTTTCTTCACTGCTACCGTCTTTTAACGAATAGAAATCTAAGTGAACATGTTAAATCTAAGTCAACTCAAGTGATGACAATCGGATGCGCGTTCTGCCCTCGGTAAAATCGTGTAGGATATAAAATAATAGGTACATAGAGTGAAGGCGAACGGAGAACGGACGGAAATGTGCACCTAACAGAGGACAATTACATTTCAGGTGATACAGTTGTGCAGACGGATAATTACGCCGTTCCAGCGGTTTATGCTATCGGTGCAGTGTTGGTTACATTGATCGTATGTCTGTTCTGTCATTGGAAGCTAAAGAGACGAGTTCAAACGGTGGGTCTGGACGACCTACGCCAACGTATAGACGACAGACATCGATGTTATCACAATGAAAATCTTCTTCAATACCACCACTATCATCAGCATCAACATCAACATCAGCATCAGCGTCAGCGTCATAAACAACAGCAACAGGAACATTATGAAGATTCTACGAAGGATTCGAGATACAATTTAGAATCATCCACGAGTCCGGTGAGCGAAAGCGATGTCGAGGAAGCTAGCAGCCTCAACAGTGTGTGACACCGTGCCACCATCCTATTTCTTCAACGCTCTTGGCTAACTTGTCACCGTTGTCATAGTTCACCAACGAAACGGCGTACATTGTACGCTGTTGATGATCATGTTCTATCACTCGATCCTATCAAGCATCGAATCAACGTGACGGCACGTCTTCAAGTATGCTTGAACTTACTTCAACTCAGGATAAAAGAATACCAATTTATCGTCGTGTTTTATCGAGTATCGTGTATTCTCGAATAATCCAAGTTGTGTACGCATTTTATTAAACGGCTCATACCTAACTACGTCATATGCGATTTTTTTTCCTCGCAGGCATACGTTAGATGCGATGATCCGTGCTCTCGTACCAAATTTCCACCCTTTTAACAAATTTCGCTGCGCGAACGTACAACATTTACATATGCGTAGACACATACATGTTACTGATATGCGAGTTGCCTGCAATCAAGCCCGTATATCGATTAACAAATTCTCGTGGAAGATGCGTTAAAAAAGAAATCAAATGAAATCGCATCTTTTACCAAACAAGAAGGAAGGAGTCATTAACTAAGGATATATTTTCGAAACACTTGTTCCTTTGAAAGAATGTGAAATATATTTTCACGTCGAGTCAATCTGATTTGTTGTTATTACTGCGACGTTATTATCGTCTTCATCCTCCACCTTCTCTTTTACTTTCTTTTCTTCTCTCTTGCTATCGA